AGTGTGTTCGGCTACTGGTGGCCATAATTTTAGGGGGTGGTAGCTGGAGTGATTCTGAACAACTTTTTCCTTTACCAAAATGCTGATTATAGCTTAGTTTTTGAATTATTAATGAAAAACACTGACCAATGAGAACGCGTATTGCCGTCATCGGCCGTCATAGACTACGTTTCCATCGAGGGTCCAAATCGGGTCAGAGTCGGGTTAGAGTCGGGTTGGGGTCAGCGCTTGTACGGTGGAAACGCCAAAGGTTTAGTTGAACTCTACCCTACAAAATTTTAGGGTAGCGTTCAGTTGAGGTTCGGTGGAAACGACAAGAGTCGAGTTCGTGTTGCCAACATAACAAATCCAAATTGCATTGTGTATCACGTGCTGTATTAATTGGTGTAGAAGAGGTTATTATTACTTTTTGTCGGTGATCTTGTAATCTGAGAAATAATTTTTGTATGTTATTTTGATATTCTAAAATTAATATTGCTCAGCTTTACATGTTAGAATATGGTAGTTGACTTTGTGCAGTTGGTAATGTTCAACCCAACTCCAACCCCAACGTAACTCTGATCCCATGGAAACAGGCAAGGCAACTTAACTCTAACCCGACTCTAACCCGACTCTGACCCGATTTGGACCCTCGATGGAAACGTAGTCATTCTTGCACATTATGCACATGCGCATTTCGAAATACTGAGTCGCAATCGTACCCCACTAGTTGGCTTGTGCATTTAAAATTGGTTATGTTCTCAGTCTCTCTCTACGAAGTCAATTTTAAGTGTCGCCTCTTGATGTATCCCTACTCTTTGGCCGTGTTGTGAAATCTTATTCCGAATTTTTACGATCTAAAAATTAACCTGCTTATAAATGAAAAAACCATTTGGGATGATTTGCTTCGCGCCTCCAAATTTATTAATTAATAATAACCTGAATTGAATTTATTCTCTCGAATTGTCATAATGACATATATTACGTCTGGGGTTTTAAAAAATGTAAATACGACCCAGTATACTAACATTGTATTTAATGCTCAAATTAAAATGAAAAATATGTAATAACCCAGGCTTTGTATTTAATAAATAAAATTGATAACATAAAAGAAAAGGAAATAAATGGAATTGTAGGGATACACAAGAGGCGATACTAAATAAGGAAACCCATCTTCTAAAGAGACACAGAGAACACGCTCAATTTAAATGCCCAAGTCAAATAAATCGGTGGCGCGCATGTGCACAGTGTACTAGTATGGCGGTCAAAAAATAATAGTTTAAACTGCACATTCACCAGTAATTGATTTGTAATAAATATTTTGTCATTTCTCTATAACGCATTCATCTGTAATTTCTTGTAATATATAGTTTTTCATTTTCTTATAAGTTATTTCTGCTAGTCATTTACGTAATACATATTCTTCAAACATATTTCGTAGAGTAATCATTTTCGTTAATTCTTTTCTTCTTAAACTTTTCAACATCGTAAAATTGATGCAAATAACTCAAAAGATAATATTAGTAATATACAAAAAATGTATTGCAAATATATTACAAATTATTAGAGGTTAACATGAAAGTAGATTTGCTTGATTTAAATTTCCCTCTCGTTTGTACAACCAATTTAAAGGGACAGCGTTTTCAAGAAATCAAAGGTGCCGACAAAGAGTGTCGCCTCTGGTTTACTCTGTGGTAATAGAACAAACAGCGATTTGTTTATTTTCAATTTATCTTTTAATAGTAATGTAAATAACAAAAGGGATAAAAAATGACAAAAATTGTTGAGCTGCGGCCTAATAAAGATTTGATAAATGCAAAATTTGAAAAGTATCAGTTTTCAACTGAAGAAATACCAGTAGATACTGATATAAATTTGAAAGCAGGTAAGTTTAAACAAAACAATGCGTACTATTTTACATATTGAATTATTTAGTGAAATTAAATGATAATGTTTTTTAAATTTATAGATGTGTATAGGTTAGAATTAACAACAAACAGAGATTCTCTTTTAGAAACACGATTATTTGCATTTCATAATCACTTATTTAAAAATCCATACGATACTTCATGTTGGTTTATTGATCAAAATTGGTTTGTATGGAGGTTTAAAAAAAATGGAAATTTGGAGCAGATGTATTTAATACATGATTCAAATGCAACTGTGCAGAATGTTTTATATAATCCATCAATTGGATTTACCAATAACAATATTGTTGCAATATCGGATGGGGGAGAATATCTGAAATTGTTAATAATAGATACTCAAGATCATGTTAAAACTTTCACATTAAGTGGTGCAGAACCTGGAGTTATATTAGATATTTGTTATGTAAATGCTACATCTTCTATTATTATTGCAATATGCGATATCAGAAGTACAGGAGAAAAGAAATTTACAAGATTGTTGTTATTAACTTATCTTTGGAAGAATGTAGGAGATCCATGTGAATCATTTGAGCTTGTTAATAAAGAAGCATTAAAAGTAAATGGTGCTGTTGAGTATGTGTATATAGAAAATTGTGGAAAATACTTACACTCTATTTGTCAAGACTACATTACATTTGAATGCCCAAAAGAACAAGCTACCCATGATAAGAAAAACGTTTCAGAAAAAGCCAGTGAAATAAAAATTCCAAAATACTGCTGGTCTCAGGATGAAGATTCTATCACAGTTTGGCTTAAAATAGATAAGCAGCATAAAGATAAAGTCAAAGTGCACGTAACGCCTTCAGAATTATCTGTAACAGTGAATGATAATGCATTGATACAAGGACAATGTCAGCACAGACTGGATGAAAATTTGACAACATGGAAATACGAAGAAGACACATTCAAACTTGAATTGTATAAATTTGAAACTGGTTTAATGTGGAGCGAACTGATTAAAGGTGACACTGGTGGAGAATATTTACCTAATGAAACATTAGCTGCTGAAATTCATTCAAGGTATATCATTTGATGTAATCATTAAAACCAACCTCGTGTTAATATTTTATTCTATTATGTTTAGGTTAGCACATTTATGTACAGACCAAACAGACAATAAACAAGGTCAACCTTGTTTAGGATTTAATGCTGAACAGCTTGAAGAATGTGATTTAGAGGGAAAGGATAATTTGTTACAAAGGATAGACCTCACAACACAGGAAAATACACACTTAGCTATGCTTGGAACAAGTAACCATGTATTATTTACATATAAAACAAAATCTGGACAAGCAATTTGTTTGAGACATGATAATGATGGTTGTTTATGGATAACTGGTGAAGTAGATAATATCAAGTGGAACATGGAACATTATTATACCTTTCCCGGTTTCGGTTATGTCGAGGCAAGCAAATGCAATAAAAAGTTTTGTGTTTCCCCTAATGGTAAATATTTAATTACTGTACAAATATAAATTTAGATACATTTTAATCTGTTATACTTTCTAGATGGTTCTTATGTCGCTATATTGGAACATACAAGATACATATTTATTTATAAAAAGCCTGAAACTAATATTCAAGTTGGAAAACAATGGATTGTGGATTTAGGTACTGAAACTTGCCCCATCATGGGAGCTGTTGCCACAAATAAATATTTAATTGTTCTTACTAAAAAAAAATTATATCGATTACAGATTTGTTTTTGAACTTAATTGTATTAACTTATTATAACTACATGCAGAGACTTTATAAATATAGCCAATGATTTTATCTATCTGTTTACATAAATGTACATCTGTTAACTTCTTATAAAATACATGTACACACTTTTGTAACTTAAATAAGAACTCATCATTCCGGTGTTTGTATATTTATAAAACTATACATGTAAATTTACATGTATACAAATTAATGTTTTAATTAAAAATCATTAAGAAGTTTTATATTTACCTTAATGTTTAACCTTCTACTTTAATATTCTAAAGCCGCGGTATGTGTAGGACATTTGTCCTTAATATATTGTGCGACTTCCTCCATGGAAAGCTCTTCCTCGATAGGCCAATACCAAATAACGCGATTTTCAAACGTTTGAATGAAACTTGCTTCTGCTGAAACTGGTCTATGTTTGTCAAATATAGTTTCTCCAGTTTTAACATTGAAAACATATGTCAAAGAATGTGTTTTACTAAAATGTCGAGCCCAAGGGGGAGCAATACTTTTTAAAAAAATTACACTATTTAGTGCGAAGTATGGTTTATCATTATTAGAATCGTTGCAACCTAAAGCTGAGGTCGGAAATTCATATACTTTAATTGGTCGACCATTCTTTGATATACGGTTCTTTACTCGCAATATTTCGCTTATGTTTGGATCTACTGGGAGTAATTCTTTGACACGCACACGAGCATATGTATTGCCGACTGGTTTCCACAAAGCTTCACAAAATTTCTTTGTAAGGTTATGCCTATTAAAAATTGTATATTGATAAAAATATTTGTCCAAGAGAAAAGTTTTAACATTACATTTATGATGTTTAGTTCATTACCTGTCTCTCAAGTATTTTCGACTAATGTTCTCTGCTCCCAAAATAAAAGCGTCTATAATATGTAATGCCAGTACTTTCTGCAGTTGCCTAAAATCCTTTGTCATTTCATATACTATTTCGGCATATACAAGTGTATCTGGTGGTAATTCTACGTTGATATCTTCAACCCTTATCCAACTACCATCTACTAAACGATATACATTACTCCTTCCCATGCCCATGTAGAATGTGGCATTTTTCTTTGCTTCATTTGCATTTCCAGTACCACAGGGCATACAGAACCAATCATATGGTTCACTCAATATTGTAGTTTTAATATTATCTTCTTTCAATTTCTTTGCTGAAGTCCATATAAATTTAGTATTATTTTCAAGAAGATGTTTTAATTTTTCTTCAGGTTTCATGTGTCTTGGAATTGTTCTACTTTCATCAGGAATCTCCCAATATTTAAGACACTCTTTGCGCATATCAGCTTGTTTTGTTTCAACAAGAGTAGTATCTTCACAAAATGCTGCGATTTTGCGTAAACCTATTATTTGTTTCCTTCCTAAGTCATAATTAGATTCGCGTAAATATTGCACAAATTGTTTTTCTTTTTCTAATTCATCTAACGATACTAACTGTAACACATCGTTATTATCATCACCCCTCAAAAGTAAGTTATTAACGTGTTGAAGATATTTTATAACGTTTTCTGTACCAGGCCGTTTAGTTTTACATATTAAATAACGTTCTGAATTTGCTGGCCTAGAAGAATTCGGCTTGAAAATACAAATTTCTTCGAAACAACGATACATTAAGTAAACTAAACCTGCGCTAAAGGGCGTAAAAAGGTCAAATAACTTTGTAACAAAATGACCTTTTACTCGTATAATCATTAAGGCAATTAAACATTGACAGAGATACAACTGTTTCGAGAGAATCTCTTGTATATTTTCTTGACCTTCTACTGAAAATCCTCCATCCGACATCATGAAATGTACTCCTTTGCCATGTGTATGTGTCATTATGAGATCTCTGAAAGCATCTTGGTTACAAGGATCATAAACATCACCATTATCTTTTGGTCCATAATAGGGATGAAATGTTTCGCAAGGTCCTGCATAAAAATCAGCTAATTTAAAATCATTCTCATTTTTCAAAGTAAGACCAAAACCTTTTGCATGCCATTTTCTTCTCCATAAAACATATTCACTGAAACCACCTGGACCAGCACATACATCTGCAAAATACAACAACTCATTGTCCTGCAAACCTTCAGGTTTGGTGAACATAAAGTCACATGCTCTGTCTATATTTGCCATTTTAACAGCAGCACGATTTAAAAAAAATGCACCACGAATTGTTTCATAAGGATTACAGCGTGTTCTTGCACGACGTATTTCTACATCATCCAAATGATCAAATATTGATTTAGCATTAATAACATTTGTAACTATAGTTTCATCACAGAACTGAGTTTCGTCTTCTATAACGGTCTTCTTTGGTCCTTTCAGTAACCAAAGCTCCATTTCTTCTAACGTTGGTAAACAATCATTTGGATTTCTTATCCATAATATATCTTCTTTAGCTTTTATTATTTCTTCTTTCGGATCCCATTTTAGACTCGAAGCTTCAAGTCCTGGTACATGATGTCCAAGTCCTCTACGACCATGTTGTTTAGGAGCTTGTACTGGTTCTAAACGACCCTGTTTATGTTTACCAAGACCATGACCTTCTTTATATCCCATCATACGCATCATATGTTCAGCTTTATTTTTTCCTTGAAAATAATTTTTGGATTCTTCTTTCTCATAATCCCTTTCTTCTTCGTTTGTATCTTCATCGCTTTTGACTTCTGTTTTATGAACCTTTTTTTGTCGTTTACTGTAATGATGATAAGAATCATCGTATGTCCTTTTCCACATTTTACTTTCCTTTGTATCATCATCACAGTTTAATGATTCATCTAAACATGTGTTTTGTATACTCTGACACTCTTCACCAGAGTCTTGTTCACAAGATAAATCTTGATACATTTTATGAGGACTAAATTTTATATCATCTTTTTCATCAAAATTTTTATCAGAATAATCATCATTACAATCACTATCATTTAAATCTGAAGTATCATCTGTCAAAGTAGTATTGCTTCTCTTTCTAGTATGTCTTTCATTATAAGATTGGTGTGCAATACAATATGCATCGTCTCCAATACTATGATCATTATCCTGATTACTGCAATTTTCATCATAATCACTTTCATCTGAATCTAAAATATTAGTATTACTTAGATATAAGCTTTTAATACAATTATAGCAAGAATTCAATATCTAAACCCCAACATTATTATGTATTAAATCATATTTTTTAAGTTTTAAAGAAGTGCATGTTAAAAATGTAAAAGATTTAGCTTAAGATACAAAATTATAATTTTTACATAATTGCATTAAAAATTAAAATGTCTACATTGAAATAAGTTTCAGCGTTGAAAAGATGGTCAAATTTTATACATGAAATATATAAAGCATTATTTTAAAAAAAAATGGATTTAATACACTCTGATTCTAGGGTCTAAATATATTTATATAGGAACAATTATCTATATTTGTAGCAACTCTTTTTGCTGACTTGAATTAAGTACTATTAACAATATTTTGAGTTAAGAAACAACAAGAGGAAATATTTACTTACTGCTCTTCATGTTTGAAACAAATGTATTTAACACTTCCAATCAATGATGTTCAGTTACTTCTGACAAACTGTTACTAAAGTATACAGAAAGGAATTTATTTGTTTCATTTATACGATCAATTCTATATTATAAAACTTTTGTACGTATTAAGAAACATAATGTTATCATTACAGGTTATGTTTTTGGTAGTCGCCATTATGAAAATATAATCTTATGCAATAATAATTAATATATTATTCTGTAATAACTGAACAATCAGCTTCACAATAAACAGAAAAACTATTCGAAGACGCACATAATTAAACTGACAAGAAAAAAAGAATGCCGATTGATGAAAAATATACACAAACCATCACTGTTTAATAGTAGAATTAAGAATTGCCAACTGAACAAATACATGACTAGTTACTTTCTCGAATTATTACTAGAATTCAAACTGAAAAGTTGTAAAATAATATTATTCATATTTTTCATGAAGCATAAGTTTATCCGAACTTACATAATAAACTATATAAATAAACTCTCTATATAATTTGTTATTGGAAAAAATTAAACTATAAAACTGAACATAACACTACTTTAAAATAATCATTTATTAAACATTACTTTTACAGTGAATAAAATTATAGAACGTTTAATTTAAATAATTTATTTCATATTTTTTGTAAATCATTCCATTTAACAAACATTTTAATTTGATTTCGACATTTAAACAATTAAGATAGATTCGCGAAGAATATAAAGACGTTTATGTAACGGAAAAACATTTTGAATCAGTAAAAGTCACACTAAAATAAATTTTCGCGTCACGAAGAATTGGAATAAATTTTGGAAAGTAATTAAAGTAGGACCAGGCTGCTATTGCAGTATTTATTCTCTTATATTCTACCATAATACTGTGTAACATACAAGAAATGCACTTTAATGAAACCTACAGAAGAGAATTTGAAATACAGAAATATTATAACATCGTTTACGCCACTTTTCTTCGTCTCTCTTAAATCGTTCATCTTGTACGCTGCCTTATATAAATAATTTGTGTATGCTCGTTTTTCTTCTACATCGTTGAACAAACCATAAACGCGATTAAACAAGAGCGAGTCGTTAAATTAATTAATTCTAAGGTACTTTTTAATAAACACATGTCACTTCGTTTCTACTATCTCTCACCAAAAAAGGTTGCTGTAAGATATTCACATCGCGTATAACATCGATTTACATTTATTTTTCGAAGAAATCATGTCATGGTCAAAGAAGACAAAACAAGCCATTTTCGCGTTACCTCTCATTGGTCGTAAAAAACTGACAATATACTGCAGTAAAACGGCTCGATACGATAAATTTTTTCGCGTTAACGCATTATCCGAAACAACGGGGAATACGAAGGACTGACAACGAAGAAGTATTCACGCAATCGTTCTTCCGGTTACACATGCTAATACTGCTCTTCCGTATTTGTAAATAACATGGTCGTGTTCAGTTCGAACATTGTTCAATGCAAAATACCAGAGATCTTTCTCTTTTTTCGCGTCAAAATCCTTAAAGTGCCTCGCTAATTGAAAATGTTTCTTCATCGAAGCATTGAATACAACAATGATGCTTAAAATGTATCGAATATTGTTGTACTATAAAACAGATATTCCTTGCAACATACAACCCATCAAGGGTGACGATCAACGGTAGAACAATTTCGACTAGATTACATTTCTTCCTTAACATACTCACTGCCATGTTTATCGTGGCAATGGTGCTTTCTTTTTTTTAATACTAAAACAAACGATGAAACGTTAGGCAGTAGTGAATCTGTAATGCGATGAACAACCAGTTGTTATTTCGCGATGAATATCCCGTGTGATTCGTACTATTTAACCCTCGTATTTAATGTTAGCTCTATTTATTTTCATTTTCTAAGCTTTAAATTAATTTTCCAATGTACAAAAGTCTTTCGTTAAAAAATTTGAATGGGTAATTTTAATCCGAGTATTCTTGCACACGATTCGTATACAACTGACCCAACATCGAGGATTAAAACAGTGCCGTTGTTTAAACTCAAGCTTGTATATCAACACTACTATTAATTATTATTTCAAAACTGACAGTACATTGTACAAAGTCTGTTTTAACATACACACAGTTGTTCTTTGTAAGAATTTGCTGACTTTCATCATTGCAATGATGGCATATAGAATAACGAATAATTAAAAGAGCCTCTACTCGGGCGAACAGCACCGTTTCCAACAGAATATTCTTCTTTTATCCGGAATTATGTTCGCACATACAGATTATAATACATAGACATGTTTTACGTATACGATACATGTAAAGAACCGATAAATTAGTATTATTACGCGGCACATTTAACGCGAACGCATGTCTCTGCATGTCTTTGCACATACATTTTGTTTCTTCGTTTAGTAAGAATCGAACGTGATCGCATACGCCGTATTTTGCAAACGCTTGTACAAAATTTTCATTCGAAGACGACCAAAGAGTGGTTGTTTAGAGTCTAAGAGCGTTGTTTCGCGAGCTTGCGTACACGTCTTGAGAAACTGGCCGAGCTCTTTCATATTGTAAGGCGTGATGAATCAATGAAGCCGTATTTAACAACAGAATACCTATTTGTGTTCTTTGTATAATTATACACCTTTTTTCTCCCCCGACACTTTAGCGGCGGTATGATCTCTCGATTTTCTAAATTCACCCCCGAGTCTCTCGCAATTTAGCATCGGACTATCATACACATCTTTTATAGCGTTTCTCGAACTACTCTTCTCTTCATCCTTCTCTCGTGTTTCCGCTTCCTAACGAGCGTTCTCGGAACAAACGCGACAACGAACGTGAACTATTACAACAACAGGAAGTCTACCGTGCTGTAAACTGTGTTTCCCCCGTGGCGATCATGTAATTCCTACGCAATTTCTCCTATACAGGATGTGAGGTTCTGAAAAAGATGGTCTCGTTAAGGAAGGTGTACTCGAACACACAGGCGAAGTAAAAGAAAAAGTATTCTATCAACGTGGTATTATATTCAATTATACCTTCCGTCTTTAACAAATCACCTGTCAATGACATTTGGAAGATACTCCGCCGGAAAACTGTGGTTCCAATGGTATTCCTCATTCCAAGCATTCCAGCAGGATCAATACACTCTTGGTACTCGTTTATCCAACGCTGAAAACGATGCTCCAGTTAAAATGGCCTTATTCTCATCACCTGATTGCTGTCCACTTCGGATTGTGTTTACAGGAATATTGTTACTGTAGATTTGACATAGGTAAATCACTGGTTGAGTAGGAGTTTTTCGACGCCATGTTGATAGAACATTTTTCTCTTTTTTACCGCCGCTGTTGCTTCCTTTAAGAGCATCCTTTTCTTAGGAAACTCTCCGCTTCTATACGATTGTTACTTCGCCTCGACGCTTGAAGGAGTCAAGCATTTTCGCTTCGTATGCTGTCCAGCATACCAGAAACGACGTCGACAAGTAATATTACGGGGATGGTTTCATACGACCATCCTCCGTTTTACAGATCGAATTGTCGTTAGAATACAACCGATGACTCGAAAAATACGTTCGAAGATATTCCTCGGATATAAATATTTAACGCGCTCTCAGAAGGACGAAGTACGACGGATTCGTGTGTTCTACATATTATTCTGAGAACAATCGTGGAAAGGAAAAAACCCGTGGAACAACATCGTGTTTCTTCTATTTTATATATACTCGGTATAGTTTCGTTATCTTCAACCCTTTCGTTCGACGCTAAATCATTTTTCTCTTAAACGAACACGATCAAACGTGTTCTTGGTTTCTTTCTTTTAGCGTGCCATTTTAAGGCACAATTCACGATTATTGCACGAGGTTGTTTAAAAGTACGTGCGTTAATGAGAGTACAATTACAACGCTAATCGATAAGAACGTACGAAATTAATAAATGATCTCTGATACGACTGCTTATCGTTCTTTTTTAACGATCGGGTAATTTCATTAACAATTCGACGTCCGGTATCACATAGTCCGACATTTTTTCTTTCGCTGTTTTTTTATCTTATTTCTAACTATTGTAATCACGTGTTAATGCTTGATCGGTAATTTTGGAAGTTCTTAAATATTAATTCGAACGATCTTTCATATTTTAGATATTAAAAGGAACATAAGAGATTTCATGAAACGCGTGGACGTCAAAATATTAATTGCGATCGTTCGCGGAGCAATTGCGACAGTCTTTAGCGAAAGGGTTAAAGTCATACAGAAGATGAAGAAAATAAAAACAGAATGGCTTTCGTGCCAACTGAATGTGAATAACGTATACTCAGTGAAGAAGAAACAGTTTTACAATCGTTCGCACGCAATTGGCTCGATACATGACGCACAAACGATGAAATCAATTCGCACACGACGTTCTAGAAAATACTCAAAACGTTATTCCGTGTTTTACCGACTCGATCTGAACACGCGTCGAGTTTCATCGATTGAACGATCTCGAACGAGACACTTTTATCATTTTCGTTACAACAGTTCTTCGTGGATTCGAAGGTCTCAGCGCACGTTAAGTTCGATTAATAAAAAAGTTATCCGCCGTATCTTTCTTTCATTTCTTACTTTAAATATAGCCCAGGCTTACGCATGTACCATTTCAACGGACGCATCGTCGCGTAAAAATAAGAAATTATCTGAATCGCGTAAAACTGCATGGTACAGTTCTTGAATTCGCACAGTTCCGTGAAAGTTTGCACAGTAAATTTTGTTGTCGTACAGTGTGCAGTGTTCGACATTCGTGCATACACTAACGAGTCTACGTTCGATAATTTACGAAAGAACGAAATCGTCTAACAACACCGTGTATTTTATTTTACTTTACAAACGGAACACTAACAGATTCGTATGGTTCCTTTAAAACGGAAAAGGAAAAAACCTTTTATCGCGAGGATTGCAGAAAACAAAAAATATAGGTACAACGTTATCAACAGTCAACAACAAAAAGTGTTGGAAACTAAATCTTTCCTATATGATTAATCTCAAAATGTCGTATTCGCTTCTCCGTCCCAATATCGAAGTTTCCCTTAAAAATTTCACGCAACGAGAGAAAACCTTCTTCGTAATTTGCCGAAGAAACCATGAAGAATCTCTAGGTGATTCCGTAGGAACCCTTCTTCGGATTTGGCTGCAAACTTATATGAAGCACATTTTAAAATCTTGGAAACGTGATACTTATGTAGCGTCCTGTAATTCCATTCTATAATTTAAATTTTCTACTTGGAATCACAGTAATTCGTTATATTGTATTATGACAACACAACGAAATTCTTGAATCATTAAACAAAATTCCATCCAAAAAAGGGTTGATTACGAAATTTGTATCGACAAACGAGGAAATACCTAAAGAAACCTGTATACTAATTCATGAAAATATCAGCCGCACTCACACGAAGAAAAATTGCAAACCCAGAAACTACCGTGAAACAAATGGTTGTACTACCCTAATTTCACGAAAGATCAAGAACCAGTATGATGACGAAATAAACGAAGCCGAAGAACTGCTACGAAAATCTATTTAAGGTTGCTGAAGAAAACTGGAAACGGGATTCACGAGACTATTCCAACCGCAATAGGAAAATGAAGAAAAAGTAATTTAAAAAAAAAAAGGAAAAAGAAGAAAAAAGAACGCGTACTCTGGTAAATTTTCTCTCCTCGTGGCTCACGACCGGATATCGAAAAAGCTTTCTCTCTCTTATTCGCATTCTCTCGTTTCTTCACAATAAAATGCACAATACGAACACGCACCCGTTGTTATCGAACTAGAAAACATAAATAGTACCGTGGTCTCTCTTCCTGTGACACGGCACTATCCACGTAAAAAACATATTGTTTTACAATTAATAATGTACAAATAGTCTATCTGTAGGTCTACAGTATACGAACGTATTCTGTCGGCTGCTCTATAAACCTGTGTATATAAGTTGGCGAGATTTTTTCAGTCTTCACATATAAAGGAGAAATATGTACTCTTTTTTTTGTTTTATCTCTCTCTATCTCGTTTCGTTTTTTTCGCTCTTTTCTTTTTTTTCTTGTTAACATTACAATATGCACACTTTTTACGTTTACAATATTAATAAAAATTGTTTAATGTACGCGATATCACAGCGTTCAGCATTAATGATTAAAAAGGTACTCGTGGTTCCCGGAGGCTATATAAATATTACTTTAGTCAACGATTATTTTTTGTTCAGCACGCGAACAATCGACACGCACCGGAAGATTTCGTTTCTTTCTCCTTTTTTTTTTCGTTTATCATTGACTCGGCTGAAGCGCGGAGAACTGTGCCAATTATCGTTTGTTTCCCGTAATTTCTTATTTCATTGTTATGTTACGCTTCTTCAGAGGCAAAACAACGGATAGGACGCAAAAAAGAATAAATGTACAATGGACAGTGCTTGATACAAGCGTGAAAAGATTGATTTCTTTCTGTTTGGATCATTCGATAAAATATATGTGGAAGGCGTGTCACGAATATCATGAAAAATTATCCCTGCTCTATTCGCTAAGATGTTCACCATTGTGGAAACTGATTGAAAATTAGCGATCAAGGTGGGAAACAAGGATCACTCGTTGAAACAATACCGTTCATTCGATCCAATAAATAAAAAGGAATGAGACGTTGGAAATTTGTAAAATTACTTTAACAATGTACAGGGTGAAACGTTATATTACAATAGGGACAAGTTGGAAACTGTTCTAGAAAAGAAATGCAATTTTGGTATTGAGATATGCAAATTTGCAGAATGAATGGAAGGGACAAATATTAGTTTTCTGATGGCGAAGACATTGATACCCTAGTACTCTGCTGTTACGAAATGCCAACAGGTGAAAGAGTACGAACGAATTAGAAAATTTAACAGGTACAGTTTGCAATAGGACTCAGAAGATATCATTCTGATACCAGTCTACCCTTTCATGCACCTTCGTTAATTCTCAGAAGTGTACGTTCTCTCCCATCCAAATTCGAAAACTAAATAAAATTAATTTCGATATTTGCAACGCACCTCGATAGATAAAAAAATATACATAGTATGTTGTTTAGTTATTAAAATAAACAGCTATATAGTCTTCGTTCACACAAAAGTGTTAATGCGGTGATCAAATTTTCTAGGAACCAAAAGCTAGCATAAATACAAACGACACAAAATACCAAGCCACCTGGCTACACCATAATGTGCACGCACTAGTCCAGAATCTTTAAAGCGAGTATTTAATATGCCTCAGAGAAGATCGTTGAACGATCAAAGGAAAACGTAACCAGGCGCGTAAACCTAGGATTCTTGTGAATATCATTGCGATAGTGTGGCACTACCACCGTGAGTCTCGTTACATGAAAAATAATACATCTACTATTAACAGTTCTCCACGAGATTGTACCTAAATACCATTGTAAATGAACGTAGGATTTACGAGTGTTCGTTAACACAAGCGCAAAGAAAAAATAAAGAACAAAAACAATTTCGTTTATCATTGCAGTATCGAAACACTCCTTCGTTAGCGAACAAACACGCAACTATTAGAAGACTATACACCACCCTAACAAACAGACAAACGTACAAAAAGAACGGATTTATTATTCGTTCGGTAAATGAATTTGTCACGCTAAATATAATACGGATGATTGAACAATTCGGTCGCGTTCAGCAACAGAAGAAAAGAACAACGCAAAGAGCAGAAAAATAATACAAGTTTTTCATCACCCGATTCTTCCCTATCCTCCTCTCTTTGTTCTTTAACTCCCTGACGACCAACACAGACGAATTCGCGCGGCGAACAGAAATAAAAAAAACAAACAAGAACAAAAATACAACGGAATACTGATCTTTCGCTTTAACAATTCTCGTTTCTCTCTCCCTCCCCTATCCCCTTAAAGTAGACAGCGAGCTCCTCCCGCAGTACACGTCATTTAGGATCACATGATTTGTATACCACGTGTATAAAAAACTGATAAGATACGTTCCCTTATTTTTTAATCATGATGCACGATTGGTAGATCTATAAATATGCTACGTCTTACATATCACAGAGCTACGCGTACACCCACTATCAACGGCATTCAACAAATGCAAAAGGCGGATGCACTTCGCTGAACGATCACGTTTTTTGCTGACAACTCAAGCATTTTGCGAAAACGATACAACCTGTTAACCCTTTGTCGCCCTACACGTTTGGGGTTTCACCACCATTCATCCGTTATATACACTTGGACGCAACGTAGGGTGTTCTTCAGGTAAGGGAGGAGGAAATAGCTATTTCAATATTTACTTCAGATTTTGGAAATTTGAATGTTTAGACTTTTGAAAGTTTGACTCAAATGAAATTTAGGAATTTGGAAATGTACAAAGTTAGGTTTCCAGAGATTTGAAAAATGTACACAATGAGAATTTAGAAATTTGGACACTTGAGAATTTGAAAATTATTTTGTTAGATATTTGAAAATTTGAAACGGTGTAAATCCAGAAATTTAAGAATGTTTTTGGTAATTTTGAAAATTTTCAATTTCCCTAAAATGGAAGGTAAGTATTTAAAAGGTCCCTCCCCTAGACTTATTCTTACCCAAAGTATCCTACATTGCAGTCAAGTATATTTGCAGCCAAATACGATGTGTATATGTAAAGACTTCTAAAAATTATATGACCACGTTGAGATTCATACTCTTGAGGACCGATATGTCATCATCATTGTTTGAGACGAGAAACCGGAGAGCCCAAAGGGTTACTATTCCGAGGCCTTTAGAAATAAGAAACTGTAGAACGTAACTTCCAGTTGATCAACCATTAAACTTCCATAGGAACGTTTCGCGTGTTCAGAAGCCTCAGTAATCAGCAAGAGCGGTGAAATATCCTCTATCTGCAAAGGAAATTGAACGAAGAAAGTATAAATTGTAGAACGACAGTTGAGCTAATTTAGCAAGAAGAATACCAAACGACGTTACGAGAAAAATATTCCGTAAGATTGTGTGCGCTAAGGGCAAGGCCATAAGAAGTTACCATGAAGATTTGAAACAAACGGGAATGCAGATCTGAAACGATACAAGATGATTCAATAGAGGGCGTACGCAATGTATGAGTATTCAGAATCGTTCGATACTCTGGTAGCATACGCTTCCTATTATTTTATATAAACTATTCACTCCGCTACGGCAACGCGCGGTCTGATTTACAACACAGTAGGAGCGTTTAAAGAGCATTTTACCATGTTTTTTCTCGAAGTGGCAAAAGACAACGACAACCGCGAATGTCTGACACTTTCCACCACGCGTTTCGAAGTTCGACTTTGTAAGGGCGCGGAAAGAAGAAAATACAAAAAGGACTATAGACACACGCGTGAACCTAGAAACGAATCGACAAAGTTTCCAGACAAATTTTCATTTTTCCTTTTTCTTTTTATCGAGCAACATCCGTATGTAAACGCGTGTGACACGCGGTTCGAAACCGACCGAGAATGGATTAGTGTGCACACGTACTGCTTCACAACATTTTCTACTGTGCGTAATTAAGTAACGAACTGTGAGACCGTTTCACGAAAAGCGTTACGTATTAATTATCACAATAATGTCGTTCGCAAAATGAAGAACCTTTGCTCGAATAACAGATATATATATTCGAGTTCTCGATTCCTCTCTGTTGGTTCCTTACTTCTCCCTTTCTCGTTTTTTTTGCCGATACGTTTTACATCTCGAGTAAGTGACGTGTACAGAGTAAACCTTGGAGGCCCGCAAATAATCGCTATGCGCTGTCGTTAAACGGTATAATACATATATATAATATACATATATGTTTCGTATTCGAATATCTCCATCGCATGAAAAAGTTCCCTCGAGAGTCGCTTTCTTTTTAGAATGGCCGCAATGGTGTATGTTTGTGTGAGTGTATGTGTTTGTGTGTGAGCGTGTATATATACATATAACACGTGGATTAGTCATCGCCATTTGACAATTATTGGCTCGTGTGTTCCCTCTCACGCGTTTCGTACACAACGTTCACGGCAGCGCATTCGAACGTTTTTCCGTCAGAAAATTGTTACACGGATAAATCTTGACGTTCGTTTATCCTAAAAATAAAAAAAGAAAACAAAAAGAAAAAGAAAGAACGCAAAAGTCAGCAAGAATTTTCGATATGAGCGCGAAACTAAAAAGCAGGTACATACACAACTGAAATTCGTTCGATCGCGGCCAGCATTGCGCGTTTTCACCAAAAATACATTTGACACGGACGCGCAAAGACAAGACCACTCAGTGGCCAATTGCATAAACATCAAACAACAATGTTTCTCTTATTACTCTCATTTTTTTCTCTTAAATCTTGTGTCTCTCTCTCGCTCTATCCTCTTTCTCTCTTCGTATAATCATTCGTTGGTTTAACAACAAATTACTTTCGATATATATTATAAAAATAAGGTATCAAACTTTGCGCCGAGGTACACAGCCATTGTGACTACATGCTTAATTTTAAGTTGTCCCCTAGAGCCCAAGTGTCTCCCCATTTCTCCCCATCGTCTTCCCAGGGATTTCCAGGTCGCTTCAAGAGAGAATCGTTCGAAACGATTCCGGTTTAGTCCCGGGATAGTCTCGAAGTAACTCGCTTTGTTCCTCTTTTTTATTATTTTTGTACGCTATAATTATTATGCTGGATGTCCTCCATCAAAGTTCTCTAATTTTGATGAGATTACACCTTTTTCACCCTTTTAATTATTTGTCTCGTTTGTCGAAACAAATGGCGACACGATTGGCGTAACGTCGTGCGCTTTGTAAAAAACGGGCGGTACGGCTTAATTTTTATGCAAAAGGCCTTACATTTTGAAGAGCGTTGCCTGTACATACGTTATGTGTGTGTGTATATATATATATATATGCAAAATATAAATAAATTATCAAATATGAAAACGTTTAACCCACCCCCCTTCTATACGTTTCGTGCATTTCGAAAAGCATTAAATGACGTTTACATAGTTATCGCAAAAAGATTAATTAGTTTGCTTGTATTCGTTTTTCTTTTCTGGTGTGTGTATATGCGTGTTGTGTGTGTTCCTTAAGGATATGACCAATATGGTTATTGAAAGCCTACATATTTCTGGTCATACTCTACATCCAATAACGATTATATCATTGCTAAACAACTACCACTACTTCAAAAAACTTGACTGGAATGTGCCTCGAAGATTCAATAATGCGCAATAAATTTTTTTTTTATCCTTTTGTTTCATTTTTTGTTGTATGTTCAACGAATAATAATAATACAGTTGTTTGACCGATTTACACACATTTCCGTTTCTGTTTGTGTTCAACAACGATTAACTGAAACGATTTTGCTGTATACCAACCGTCGAATAACCGGCACCATTCCAGAAAATAATAAACGACAAGGAAAAGAAGAAACATTACGTTACGTATATATTCAAAGGAGACCCAATTATCCTCTACACAAACCGTAAATATTAAGTGGGCCCGATATAGACAGGAAAAAATCGATCTCTTATTTAACCTGCACTCTTACCGACTTTGTTCTTTGAAAAGCGTCACTGCTGCACTGGAGTGGGTGGAGGGTAAGCGTAACTATACGGTGACACAGCTTGGAACTGACCGTATCCCATCGACTGATAAGCACAGGCTCCAGTGTTTGGTGGTGGACGATTTGTCTGGAAGAATTTGTTATTAACGAGGCTCTGCATCCCAGAATCGGTGTGACCATTGGATGGCATCATGTACGGAGGCGGTATAGAGTACACGTTCTGTCCTCCAGCTGCTTGGTTAGTACTGTATGTATTTTGCCTATTATGGTATCTGTTTCCTTGAAAACCTCCCGTCCTCCCGTGGTATCTAGGTATATTTGCATTCTGATAACCGGTTTGGTAGCTGCTGGTAGTTGGACAGCTGGTAGTGTAGGCGTTAGGCTGTCTCTGGTGTTGTTGCTGCTGTTGCTGTTGTTGCTGCTGCTGCTGCTGTTGTTGTTGTTGCTGTTGCTGCTGATAGTTAGGCTGGAAACTGTTCTGACGACTGTTTTGATATCCATTCTGTTGGCGTACAACGGTTCTCTCTTGGCCGTTAATGCTTTGGTGCTGAATGCTTTGAGAATGCTGAGATTGCCAATTATTCGTTGGGCTGCTGTTATTTCGTGGACTTCCAGGGTTGGTCTCCTTGTTGGAGCGAGAATGGCTCCATCGCTGACGGCCTTTGCCGTAAGAATTCTTTATCGAGTTTGCCAGATCAGCTAATTGAGGGTTTATCACTTGGCCAGCTTCTTCTAGAACGGAGATCAGCTCTTTTGCTTGTCTTGCGTTGTTGGGTGTGAAGTACGCGTATGCGGTGCCAGCGCTTTGACAACGTCCAGTTCTTCCTATTCTGTGAATATAATCTTCAGAGCTGTTAGGGTAATCGAAGTTGATAACGTACTTTACGTCTTCCACATCTAAACCGCGAGCAGCGACGTCGGTGGCTACGAGTATCATTGTCTTTCCATTTCTGAATTCTGAAAGAACGTAATCTCTTTCGGGTTGAGACTTGTCACCGTGGATAGATATAGCTGGCCAACCCTCTCGTTTGATAGCCTTCGTTATGTCGTCCACTTTCTTCTTTGTTTCAACGAAAATGATCATTTTGCCTCCTCTGTCTTTGCCGATTTCTCGAAGTAAACCTGAAAGTTTCGTCTCCTTCTCGTGTTCCTGGCATATCTCGATGATCTGACGGATATTGTGATTAGCGGCCAACGTCAGAGAACCGATATTAATCTGAATATAGTCTGACAGAAAGTCTTCAGCCAGAGCCTGCACTTCTTTTGGCCATGTCGCGGACCACATTAGCACCTGCCTGTCGGGTCTTATTTGCTCGATGATTTTTCGAATCTGCGGTTCGAATCCCATGTCCAACATTCTGTCCGCCTCGTCAAGTACAAGATACGTGCATCTACGCAGATTCGTAGTTCCCTTCTCAAGAAAATCGATCAATCTACCGGGGGTTGCAATGCATATTTCAACGCCACGTTCCAAGTCACGAGCCTGAGGCCCTTTTGGAGATCCACCGAAGATACAGGTGTTACGAATACAAGAGGATGATCCAAAATCTCTGGCGACGGACTGAATTTGCTGAGCCAACTCCCTTGTAGGAGCAAGAATTAAAACGATCGGACCGTCTCCTCGACTCAAACGTGGTTGATTATTAATGTGTACGGTCGCCGGTAAAATGTACTGAAAAGTATCCATGAAAAAGCATATTTATTGTTTTGTTTGAAAAACATATGCTATAAAGAATGATTAATGAAACTTTCTATTAACAAGAATATTCTTATAATAATGTTTCAGAATTATTAAAATATACAATTTATATAAAAGTAAAACTTTTGAATCCTAGGATTTTGATACATGACATGCATTTTATTTCAATTGATACCTAAGAACAAACTTGATATACATACGGCTAATGTTTTTCCAGATCCTGTTTGAGCAATTCCAACCAAGTCACGGCCACTGAGCGCAATTGGCCACCCTTGTGCTTGAATCGCAGTTGGTTCAGCAAATCCCTGTTTCCTTATTTCTTCCATCACATAATCTGGGAAGTTACTTTCTTCGAATGCTTGAATTGGAGATGGTGTGTTGTTTCCTTTTACCGTGATCTCTTTGCCAATGTGATATTTAGTGACATCATCTATTGACCGCTTTAGGACATTGATATGTGGAATATACAAATTCTTTGCGATCACTGGTAACTTTGTTAAATCCCAACTAGGTTTCTTCAATGAATCTCCAGGTGTCCTCCTTTGAGCCTGCTTCTTAAGTGTCTTTTCCTTCTGTGTGTGTTGTTGGCTGTTCCAAAACGTTCCACTCCCATTACGACTGCTAGAGTCCCTGTTCCCCCTAGGTCTGTAACTAATCATATTCATAAAATACTATTGACAAACTACTAACATATATATATTTACATTTCTCAGAAAAGCATTAAATTTAAATTCAAATCAATTTCGTGGTATATATTTATTTGTGCATAATAATAATCATTACAATTTTTATATACCAATTCTTCTGATCTACTAGAATAATTAATAAAGCATTTAAATAGTGTAAGTAGGACAAAAATGAGTAGTATAATAATAACAATAAAAGTTTCTAAGCAATCTTAGGTATAATATTCTGAGTTTAAATATAAATACTTAATGTTATTATTATAATCATTTACAATTAATGAAATGTATATTCTATATACATAAATAAACTGAAGAAGATAGAGATTACATATACTTACCTATAAACATGTACATGTATATGTTATCACTAATATTGGAAAACCATAAATCTTAATTTAACCTAGTTATTATCAATTTTAACTAAATGATGCCATTAACTTGTGAAAAAATTCAATTCTTGATTGAAATGAATGTAGTTAGTTAATGTTCACATTACAAACCAAAGTGTGGTTTCTGTTAGAAAAGACGTTTGTACTATTACTTTTTGTGATCATAACAAGATGCAAGACAAGGTTTCATTATTTTTTAAAGGAAGGTAATGATAAATAAACAATTTACAAGCTTGTTTGTTTATTAATCAAATGAACATGTAAAAAAGAAACCAATTATAAAAGAACGATCTTTACATTCTCTTGTTTTTGTAAATATATTTAATTTCTTTTTTTTTAAATTTAGTTTTACAGAAATGATTAGAATGATATTTACAGTTATACTTTGTAATTGTTAAATGATATTTGCACTTTCATGATTGCAATGTCAACTACAACTGCAGGTGACAAACCTCTGTTTTGTTCAAAAACAAAATAAACAACAAATAAATTATTTTATAGAACAAGTTTATTATGAGCAGAAATAATGTTAAGAATAAAATTATAAATATAAACCTGCGAACTTAACAATAACATTAATCTGTTACTGATGAGAAATATGTCCTTAAAGTATTTAGTACTTTTAAATTACTGTGACAAAAATGCTATAATGTATATCAATATGACATATTCCAATATCATCTAATGGCAGTGACATATTGAAATACATATAATACAGTCAGGTATATTAGGAATATCACATTAAAGAAGGAAAATAAAAATAAGAATATATTAGATATATAATAGTAAAATATGGCATAATAAAAAATAGTATTCCGATAACCCACCAAATGTAAAATATTTATTAAAAAGAAAATTTTTAGTAATGAACTTGTCTCACATCCCATTATGACCATAAAAAGTAACAATTATAATGTACTGTCAAATTTTTCAACAACCACATTGCATTGAACTTTTGTAATTAGACAATTGGTTTTTTGCTCCACTAAATATTTTTGAACATTCAATATAATTTCAATAATACAATATATACTGCATACAGTAGGGTGTGTACATATTCATGAAACAATTTTTATGGATTTAAATTGAAATTTCAATGTTATTTGATAATGTTTAATTAATATACGTAGTAAATAATTAATGTGTACCTGACCTAATTAAAGTATGCAACTGATCTTAATTTTTCTACTTTAATTAAGCCATTCATATTACTGCTCATATTGCTTACTTAATCTGCACAATAATGGAATTCTTTAGATTAACGGTAATATATACATGTATATACATATACACACCCTCTATTCACATATGCATATACACTCGCACGCACCCACACTTCCATACGTCATATATAGATTTATTTTATTTCTTTTTATCAATAATACATATACAATAAAAATATTTCACGACATATTTTAATCAAATATCAAGAAAATCAATACCATTTGCATAATAACATAAATCTTTAAAGGCTTCAATTTCACGCTTGTCAGTAACTTTCCATTGAATAATCGCTACTGCGCCATTTTACTTTTTTTACGATGCGTCTAATTCTGTTCAAAGACGTTTATTTAAATTGCAAACAGATAATTCTCTGTTACATTAAAAATGATTTAATTACCACAAAATCGTTATTCCTTATTGAATAGCAAATCTTTAGAAAGTTTAAAACGGTTCAATATAATCAGCGATCAAGAAGATTCGCGAACAAAATGGCGGACAGCATGATAGATAAAAAATAGTTACTTCCACTTCAACAGCTAACAGCTTTTCGTATCAGCGAAAATTGAAATGGTACAATTTAACGAGACCTACCTGGTATGATTGGAATAACTGTTGTTATACATCTTGATGAATGTTCGGAATAATCTGCTGACACACTACCCGTCTGTAGAAACGATCTTCAACTTTTTTCAGAAACTATGTCAGTTGTACCAGTTACACCTGTGATCAATAATACCTCATTTTAGAAATAATTCTATAATCAGTGTGTGAGCAAATGTACCTTTTGCACAATAATTAAGTACAAAATGATAAAAAGATTCTTATATTTGAGAGGAGAAAATATTCAGATGAACTTACCCTGCAAGACCCGGCAAGCAGAGCGGCAATGGCAGGCAGGCACTGGGAAGACGGAAATGGGAGACTGGGCTCTGTTTCCGCTTCTAAATATACACGTCGCAGCCAATACATGCAAACAGTGATCGCTGATTGGTCGATTCTTTTGTGGAACATTACGCACAACGCGTCGACCAATCCGAGCGCGGCGGCAGAAATCAATAAATTCAAGAGTGTGATATATTCATCTAACTGAAAGGCAGGTATTCACAGAAGAGTGGAAAGAAGAATCGTGAATACAGTAACAAACGATGAAAATATACTTGAAAATAGGCCAAAAGTCTCTTGCAAATATTAAAAATTATATTTTATTTTGTTTAAATATAACAATTTTAGTTGATATTTAGTTCGAAAAGTATCATGACTTACAATATTACATTTTTTACTTTATCGATAACATAGTTTTTATTTTAAACTGTAATTATTATTGATAATACGTTATCAAAAGTTGATAACAATTTTTTTAATGTAATTCGATATAACATTATACACGTGCCAAAAAATCTCAATAATTCTTAGGAGTCTTGCATCACCATCAATTTCTTTAACAATCATTATTTTTTTACTGTCGTAGTAAAAATAATGAAATTAAAATTGTGGAAGCATCGTTAAATATTAAAGTAATAATAAAATAGGAATAATGATTAATATATTGGGCATTTAATGATGAAATTTATAAAGTATTATTTAATAACGTTTCATTTACGTGAGCAAACTATTCTTCTTTTCTCTCAATTCGCAGATTACTTCACATTGCAGATTAATAGCATTGAATTGTACCCCCACCATGGAATAGCTGGTAGAAGGGGTAGATCTATGCGAGGTTATAAAGGTACCTCTCCGGGAAACGTCAATCAGTAGACGGATCGATGCTGCTCGCATGTTTTTGCTAGGCTCTGAAGGGAGGGGGATTTATTGCAAATTTAACAAAAATTTGCTATACATTCGTTGTACTTTTTACCATTAAAATACAAAAGACCTAATATCTGCTATTGTAACACAACAAACATTGTTACATGAAAGTTCAAATTTTTCAATAAACTTAAGTTTTTTAACATTATTTGATAATATATAATGAATTGAGAATACTATTTCAATTAAAATATCGATGCCGAAATTTTTCAAGGACCTAAATATCTTCCAACATTCGATAATGGTTTAAGTTCATTTGCCTACGCATTATGAATAAATATCCCGTTAAAATTTCCATCGCAATACTTCAACAAATAATTATTTTAAATTATTCCCCTTTGATCGATAAGAATCTGAATGAAAAATTAAGTGTTTTCGTATCGACCATGACAATGACTAATCATCGAGTATGGATTCTGTAACAATATAGTAATCTGGTATTTCCAAGCGTTTGTTTAAGTTAACACAATCGCAGTAGTTATAAACATTAGTCAATACTCTAAATCTGTTTTGCATAAGTTGAAAGCCTTTTATCACATCGATATTCGACATGGTTTTTCTATTACGTCAGCGATTGTTGTTTCATAGTAACATTTTGTTTCTGTTTGGAAAAATAATCGTACGTTTTCGCAAGCACAAATATTTATTCTAAAATTTTACAGTTGAAAGCAACTCTAGTTGAGTGATCATTTTATGTTCAATTTGACAGCGAAAACAAGAAACAAGTTTGTTAGGAATTGAAGGTTAGAAAATGTTAAGAAACAGTAACAGTTTGGGGCTTAGTGCGATTGTCAGTTATTGTAGAATGTTCTAACTGTAATATGAAGTTTTACAGAAAATATCGTATTAATTTTCAAATATAAATGTTCCAGAACTTTCTTTTTCAACGTGAAATCATTGATTTTACAAAGTACTTTTGCAAAAACAGAAAAAGTGCCTGAGAATCCAAAATTTTTGAAAAGTGTATTACTGAAACTATTTAACAATTCTAAAATCTGGGAGATCCAAAGTTTAAAAATTTGTTTAGTCATGAATGTTCAAAGTTCAAAAATATTGAAGTTCTAAAATTAAAAAAGTCCTTATATTCCAAAATTCAAATTTTGTTGATTTCCAAAATAAAGGATTCGACAGACGCAAAGTTAAGAAATTTCAAGGTCCTAAATTTCGAAAATTCTATTTTGGACACTTAATGGTAATACCGTAGGAATCCCTAGGGTCCCTGAGCAACAAAACCCAATGGTGCAGTCATCGATTTCTGCTGCTCGTTTTCCAATATACACACCCACAGTCACTGAAATTCCAGCGAGCCAAAGTGAGAATCGTGATCTAAAATTCTTGAAATTCAAGGAAATCGTGTCGGGGAAAAAATGCATTTGCATATTTACTACTAGACCACCATATTAACAGAATTTCATGGAAAGCACGCGATTAATCGATCGTCCATTTATATACACGTGTCAGCAGGATCTTTCTTGATGCTTATCTCTTTTATTGTACGCTGAATCGATGGAACGGTGTGTTTATGGATGATTTGATCATTGTATTCATAATGAATTAACATTGCAACTTTATCGTATGTCTCAATTGTTCGGGATAAGTCAGGTAATGGTGGAATCAGGGCTAGACATAAGGAGGCTGGACCCCGGTCTTAAATAGTATATGGATAATTCATATATTAATTATCGTTTATTTACTCTTTATATATTAATTATTTATTAATATATGCTTCATATATTAATATTCGTTTATTTACACTTTATATATTAATTATTTATTAATATGTACTTCATATATTAATTTTCGTTTATTTACTCTTTATGAGGCTAGCGGTTTTACTATTTCTTAATGAAATATTCCCTTACAAATCTTATGTATGTAATATGTGATTGTACATTTTAATTGTTTTTTCAATAAAGAGAATTATTATGTATGTATCCTTGCTCGTATAGAACAAGGATCATTCATAGGAATATTTTCAACAAAAAATTTTGCAAAGCAAAATTGAAACTTGCATTTAGTGAAACCTTACTGTATACATGCTTTCGAATTTAAATAATGTTTTTAGCTTCATAAAAATAATGTAATATAATATTAACAAACTCAGTCTTTGATTTACAACATTATGTAATAAATTAGTTTTTATTTTTAAATATAAAAGTTTTATAAGGGAAGGGTAAAACTTAAAATAAAATTAGAGATTGAGGTTATTATGAAAACAGTATAGAAATTTTGTTTTATTAAAATATTATAACGGAGTATTTATAAAAATAAAATTTTAAATGTATAAAATAATAATTCACGAAAATAATGTAAAATAATATTAACAAACTCAGTCTTTGATTTACAATATTATGATTGGTAATAAATTAATTTTTATTTTAAAACATAAAAGTTTTATAAGAGAAGGGAAAAATTTGAAACAAAATTATAAATTGAGATTATTATGAAAGCAGTATAGAAATTTTGTTTTATTAAAATATTGTGAGGAGATATTTATAAAAATAAAATTTTAATGTAAAAATTAAATGTAAAATTAAAATGTATAAAATAATAAGTCTATAGATAGAGTGTAAGTTTAATAACTTTGTCAGTTTATTTAATTATTAGTTTAATAAGATGCCTTAAGATGTAAGCTTCAAAAATAAGCATTTGTTGAAAAAAATAGTATTGACACATAAATAAAATAAACTATTGACAAAAATGACGTTTCCTTTTAGCCAAAGCAATGCTGCTATCCATTTTTCTGTGTATAGTTGTGTTCTATTATCGTTGAGAGATTGTTAAAGCCATAAAATATATCTTGCACCGGGCCCCGCGCATATGGTGGACCGCCCCTGGATGGCATGTTTCTGTTTGCTGGAGATAGTGAAGTATTCCGAGGCTAATTGATTTAAACGCTATAATGTTCATCTTCCTGCAATCAATCGCAATTCTTTTTTTTTGCATGGGCTAATACATTCACATGTTGAATTTCTACTTCTTTTTTGGTTTTCTTTTCATTATGACGATGTGTTGACTGCCACGCGGCTGTTGGAAGTTTCATTCGATAATATTTTAAATTTTACCGCAATCTTATGCATTAATTGTATAATATTTCGTCATTCTAACTGTTTAAGTCATCGACAGATTTTGGAACAAAAATTAATGTGCTTGTTGGATGCTACTGTACCTTGTATAAAAAAACGAGCAGTACAATTGATTTTTATTATGTTGCTGTGGATAGGGCCGTAGCAAGCGGCAGGAGTTAGGGAATTTTATAATTGCGAAATTCAGTGTTGGAAAATTGGGAAAATTTGCGGATTTAGGGGTGTAAGAATTTTAAGTATTAAATTTAAAAGTAGGGAATTTAGGTATTTGATGATTTTGAGTACTAAATTTAAAAATTAGGAATGTGGGGATTTGGAAAATGTAGAAATTTAAGCTAGTTGGGAATTTACGAATTTTAGGAATGAGGGATTTAGGGATTAAGACTTTTTAAAATTTAGGGATTTAGGGATTTAAAGATTTAGGGTTTTAGGAATTTAAAACGTTTGGAAATTTAGAGATTTTGGGAATAAGGGATTTAGGGACTTACGAATTTTAGAATTTGAGAATTTGGGAATTTGGGAATTTGGGAATTTGGGAATTTGTAAATTTGAGAATTTGGGAATTTGAGAATTTGTAAATTTGAGAATTTGGGAATTTTAGAATTTGAGAATTTGGGAATTTGGGAATTTGGGAATTTGGGAATTTGGGAATTTGGGAATTTGGGAATTTGGGAATTTGGGAATTTGGGAATTAATTTGAGAATTTGGAAATTTGAGAATTTGGGAATTTGAGAACTTGGAAATTTGAGAATTTGGAAATTTGAGAATTGAGAAGTTTGAGAAGTTTGAAAATTAAAAAATATTGTAAACTTGAGTTCCAAAACCTTTCTTTATGAATCTTGAAGAAACCCAATTTCTTAAAACCTACAAGAGAATAATTTCGGCATTTCTGAGTTTCTTAAATGAATCTTGCATTTCGTTTATTTCACGTACAATTGAAGGAACACGAAATATTTTTTCCTCATGTTAAAAATACCTCGTAAGATAAAATTGAACAAAAGGTATTATAGATTCGTCATGATTACACAGTCTAAATTCTACAAAT